CAGGCTGCCCAGGAGCCAACAGAGGTGACAATGTGTGCTTGTGATAAGGACTCAGCCAAAGCTAGCGGAAGAGGTTCCTTGAGAGAGAAGCTGATCTGTTGTTTGAGTCTTTGTGAGGTGATGATGAATGGATGCTGGACCTCCTTCACCACAGTAGTCAGAGCCAAAGCATTATCTATGGAAAGGCTGGCAGCCATCTTGCGACCTAACAGGGAGACTCAGGCCAAGTTCCCCATCAAGAGGAGGCAACAGAGAGACCAGAACCACTTACTTGTGCCCGATGTAGAGGCTCCATCAGGACATTCTGTCAGGGACAGCCTTGCTTATACACTGAAGGCCTAAAACCAGCAATAGGCCTAAGTCAGCTTGCTAACACAAAGTCTTGGGTCTCTGTGGAAAAACACTGAAACAGATAGCTATAAGATATTGTAAACAGGCAACTTTGGTGGAAATTTACCAGTCTGGATGAGAACAAGTAGTCATAGGTCTTGTGGATAGTCATAGACCTTGGGTAGCCTTGGTGGATAGTACCAACTTGGATAAGGACAAGTAAATCATAGGCAGAGTCATAGTGACCTGTCTCCTGAACCTTCACCCAGCTGATACTCTGTTCTAGAAAATATCTGTACTCCCCCTGAACACCTACACTCCTGCATCATCCCCTTCCCCACATCCTGCTTTTGTGTGTGTGTATAATCCCTGTGTAAAAAAGTAAAAATGGTGGTTTGATCAGACTATAGACAAGCCGCTTTGCATTCATTCTTTGCATTTGCCTGTTTCCCCCATCCTCTCTTTCAGGTGACCTCCCCAGATCCCTGTTTAATGCCCTGCTGGACGGGAACATTCTTCCTAGTCTGTTCTAGTCCCCACACTCCTATGAAGGAAACACATCTCTGTCTTACAGGTGTAGATCCAAGGTGACAAAACCATGTGCTCAAAGCCGAGGTAGTCAGCAGAACAGCAGTGGTTTAGACCCACTTCTGTTTGTGACATTATTTTGCAATTAGAAACATGCTTGCTAATATGCGGGAATCGAACCCAGGAGTGGCTCCTCCTTAGAGCCCTGCATCTTGGCAGTTGAAGCATCAAGAGGCATGTCTCTAGAAGAGCTGTTTCTGGCACCTCCTGTAGCAGACAGCAGGAGAGGATCCGTATACCTCCAGCTCCCCGTACGCGGTGTGGTCCCCTCTCCTGCCCGTGTGTCTGCATGACCTCCCTCACCTGAAATGTAGCCTAGTTAGTTTCTTGGCTTCTGTGTAGCTCTCACACAGTGAACTTGAGTCTCTGTCCTATCCTATCAAGGGACTTCCATTTCGATTTTTATCTCACTACAAGGTTCCAGAGCCTTGTCACTCAGCAGTGTCCATGTAAACCAGCAGAGTCGTAGTGAAAAGCTGCCCTGATAAATCTGATGGACTAGTCCATCGGTGGCAGGCGTGGTAAGCCGATCAGCAAGGAGAGTGTTCACGAGGGAGCAGACATTCCGAATGACATAGGTACGGTGTGTTAGTGAGCCGTTCTCATTGCTGCGACCATATCTGACAGCAGCGAGTTGACAGGGTGGATTGACTCCACCTCGTGGTATCAGAGGGAACCAACAGTCCGTCATGTTAAGAAAGACAGTACAGAAGTGGTCTCCACATTCTAGTAGGCCAGGAAACAGACTGGATCGCATGCAGGCCTGGACTATAACCTTTAGATTCCACCACCCACAGGGACTCACTTCCTCCAGCAAGGCTCCGCCTCCCAAAGGTTTCACAACCCCTCAAAACACCGCCACCAGCTGGAGAGCAAGTGTTCAAACACAGGAGTCTTGAGAAGCCGATTTGATATCCAAACTATAAGAGATGGATCAGCGGTTCAGAGCATATTCTGCTTGTGCAGATAAACTGAGTTTCGTTCCCAGACCATGAACTTGGGTTTAGAGTTTTTGGGTTCTGTCATGTTGTCTTAACCGGTCTGCACCTGGCATGGTTCTTTGTAAGAAAGGCTTCATTGAATCGTCCCTACTCATAAATTACATCATACAAGTATAGAGGAATCGTGTGTGTGTGTGTTACCAAGTGAACACAGAAGTCAGGAGATGAGAAGGGAAGGGTCATGGGAGTATAGTGAGCAGTAGAGGTTAGAGGTCAGATCACTTAGAGGTCGGAGGTCAGATCACATTGCTGACACACTGCTTCTCTGTATTAACACAATCTACACTGCAGACTACTGAAAACTCAACTCAGAATAGATTAAACAGGAGGAAATGCATTATCTTGGAAAGTAAGACATTTTGGCTGGGGAGATGGCTAGCCCATAAGTGCTAGCCACACAGTGTGAATCCCACCTCCAAATTCATGTAGAAAAACTGGGCATAGTGACAGCGCTGGGGGCAGTAGACCATGGGGCTGGCCAGCCAGCTAGCCTAGGTGGACTGGCAAGTTTCTGGTCAAAAGTGAGGGACCTTATCTCAAAAAGTAAGATAGAGAGGGGCCGGCAAGATGGCTTACAGTGCTCCTGATGCAGCTGGAGACTTGAGTCTTCTCCCTGGAACTGTCAAAAATACAGAAGGCCAATGTGGGATTCCTCCACTAATAAAACAATGAAAGTGGATGTCTCCTGAAGAAGAACACCCAAGGTTAACCTATGCTTCCACATGAGTGAACCCACATGTAACTAAGTGTGAGAGCATGCACATGTGTGTGTGTGTGCATGCGTGTGCGCACACACACACACACACACACACCTCACACAAAGAAGACAAGTTGCTCCTAAGTATGCTGGGCACAAGGTGGGTTAATTCAGAGGCTCAGTGCTCTCTATGTTGAGGGACCTAGCTGGCCCCTCAGCTTTACAGCCCTCTGATCTATATCATGGTGGCCAAGTGGCTATCATGGTGGCCAAGTGGCTATCATGGTGGCCAAGTGGCTGCTAGCAACTACTCATGTATCATCTAAAAGCCAAAGAGAGTCAGTCCATTGCTTTTGTTTTATTTTAAGAATTAGAAAAACTTGCTCATAAACTTCCCTGTCCCTAGGTGACTCCGAACTGTATTTTATATCCAGTCCAAAGCCAAGAACTGGCTAGATGAATGGATGTGGGGCCATTCTGGTTACCAAGGCCAAGGAAGGACAGAGTCTTGCATCACTGACACCCCTGGGTTAGCAAGCAATCTCAGCTATTTGGATAAAGTGGGGCTATGTTAGTAGAAATTTCTTTAGAACCACCACGGGGTAAGCAGACCAATAGGTATCTCCTGTAACGTGTAGGCACCTTGCTGAGAGGCCACGTGGAGTGTGCCGTAGTTTCTGCTTTCTGAGCTGATGCAAGGACTGAAGCCGAGAGAGATGGCTCATCCAGTGAGAGTGCTTACCGCTCTTGCCAGGGATCTACATATAGTTCCCAGAACACATGTCAGGAAGTCCACAACTACCTGTAGCTCCAGGGAATCAGACATCCTCTTCCGTCCTCAGTAAGCACTGTGTACACACAGTGCTTGTGAGCATAAACAGGCACGTGCACATACATACACACACATATACATACATGCATGCATGCATGCACATACACACACATATAAATAAAAATTTAAAAGCTAAAAGAACCAGAACTACAATTATTCAAAGAGCTGCATAAAGTCTCATCAACCCACTTATGATGTAAGATAAAGACTTAAGCTGTTTGACAAAGGCCACTTTTCCAAGGATCTTCTGGCTACCACAAGCGTCTTCTTTTATGTAAGTGTGCTCTCTTGCTTTGGGGGTGTCTGGGGGTGATGCCAACATAGTACTGGGGGCTGGGGATCCAGCAGAATGCCATCGTTCCCTTTCCCGTTACTCCCAGCAAAAGCAATTCAAGAAAGGAAGGGTTTACCCTGGCTTGCAGTTTTGAGGGTATGCCCCCCACCATCATTGGAGAAGAGGGCATGGCTGGAGGAGCATTCACAGTCAGGAAGCAGAAAAAGGAGAATGTTGTGATTATACCACCTCTTTGTTTACTTAGTCTAAGATGTTAAGGATCACACACTGTTCAGGGTAGGTCTGCCTGTCTCCATTACCCCAGTCTAGAAACTTCCTCTCAGACCTGCCCAGAGACTTGTCTCTTAGGCAGTTCTATAACCTGTCAAATTCACAATTAATGTCATCACCACAAAGATTCTCATTATCGCTTCTTCCAAGTTGGCGGCTGTGAATTCCCAAGCCTACCTGTAGTGGTCACCGTAGTAACATTAATATACAGAAAATCAGAGCTGAGCACCAAGTATCCAGTCACCAACAGCACCTGTGTCTGGGCCAAGGGTTGTAGGCTTTGTACATGCAGCCAGCCTCGCACACAGAATGTTAAACTCTTTATTGAGTCCCATCCAGCAGGGCATTAAACAGGGGTCCAGGAAGATCACCTGAAAGAGAGGATGGGGGACACAGGCGAACACAAAGAATCACACCTTGTCTATAGGCTGATCAAACCATACTTTTTACTTTTTCACACAGGGGTTATATACACAAAAAGACAGGATGTGGGGAAGGGGATGATGCAGGAGCGTAGATGTTCAGGGGGAGTACAGATATCTTCCAGAACAGAGTATCAGCTGGGTGAAGGTTCAGGAGACAGGTCACTATGACTCTGCCTATGATTTACTTGTCCTTATCCAAGTTGGTACTATCCACCAAGGCTACCCAAAGTCTATGACTATCCACAAGACCTATGACTACTTGTTCTCATCCAGGCTGGTAAATTTCCATCAAAGCTGCATGTTTACAATATCTTATAGTTATCTGTTTCAGTGTTTTTCCACAGAGACCCAAGACTGTACTAGCAAGCTGACTTAGGCCTATTGCTGGTTTTAGGCCTTCAGTGTATAAGCAAGGCTGCCCCTGACAATTGAGAACATAGGATTGGAACCAAGACAGTCCCTTTCTGTGCTGCACTTCCCTGTCTCCTTGGGTTTCTGTGTAATAAATAGATGTGACCTGATCCAAGCTGGTCACCACAGGGTTGTTTTTCTCTGTTCTCAGAGAGATCCTTCTCAGCTCCTCCAGCACCACCACCACAGGAAGTCCAGATCCATCCTCAGGGGACCCCGCAGTCAGTGCCCTTCAACAACAGCTCTTACTCATGGTGGCTCGGAGGACACAGTCGGAAACCCCACGGGTATGTGTATACCAGTGTTGCTGTTCATGCTGCTGTAGAAGCCCTGGGTCTTCTTCATAATGTGTGTGTCTGTCTGTGTGTGTGTCTGTCTGTGTGTGTGTCTGTCTGTGTGTGTGTGTGTATGTCTGTGTGTGTGTGTCTGTATGTGTGTCTGTGTGTGTCTGTGTGTGTGTCTTTGTGTGTGTGTCTGTGTGTGTCTGTGTGTGTCTGTGTGTTTGTGTCTGTGTGTGTCTGTGTGTGTGTCTGTGTGTGTGTCTGTGTATGTGTGTGTATGTTTGTGTAAGAGGAAGAGAGAGGAGGGGAGGGAGGAGGAAACAAGCCAGAGGAAATTCATGAAATAATCCATTGTTGGAAAATGCCAGGAAGATACTCAATACCTTGTATGCTAACTTCACAAGCAAATGAATGAGGGATGGAAAGATAACTTGGTGGTCAACAGCACTGGCTGCCCTTGCAGATGACCTGGGTTTGATTCCCAGCACCCATATGGTAGCTTACAACCATCTACCTCAACTTCCGGAGGCACCAGGCATGCACACGATGCAGAGATATACGTACAGGCCAAGTATGCTTGCATATACAGTAAAACTGAACAGATCCAGTGTGGTGCCTGTAGTACTGCTCCCGCCTGGCTCTGGGTAGGGCTGGCTCCACCCACTGAATTAGGGACTGTGCCTTCTTCCGTGAGGACTGTGTGTCACACAGCTTCACCTCCTCGCCCTGTATCTGTAAGACTGCCATCTTTCCTGTATCTTTGGGGGTCAAACACAGGTCCTAGTTAAATCTGTGAGCACTTTCATCTCAGCAATAATAACAATGACAAACAAGTCTAGGACACATGTTGCTCTCAGAGCCTCAGTTCTACTCTATCTACCCCTTGCCCAATAGCTCCTGAGTATTGTTCTAGGGACAGGCTGGCTTTCCTTTCCTATGCCTTGTGTATGCATCAGTCCTTTATGTTCAGGATAACTTCCTGATCCTTGAGCTATCTTGGTGCTGCCAAGAACGTAGAGCCTGCTCTCACTCAGGGCTCTGCAAGGGTCTGAAAACCCGTGAAGGAGCATCTGAGTCACACTGAATACATGCCAGGTTCTTGGACATCAGTCACTGTCCTTAAAGTTGTGGCTTATAATTCCCAAACTGACCGTGTGTGTGTGTGTGTGTGTGTGTGTGTGTGTGTGTGCTGTGCTAGCATGGGCTGACATACTTTTGTTTTTTAGGGGTTTTTTGGTGTTTGTGATGGTGTATTTTTTGTTTGTTTTTGTTTTTTATGTCTCTCTTGCTTTGGACTTTGATCTGTGTGAGTTCTTTGAGGCACACATCAAAGCTCCACTCTTCCGGATTAAAGTGTAGTTGTTGTTTCTGCTGGGTGTGCGGAGATGCTTTAAGGTAAATTCTCTGAGGGATTTGGAGCATCCACATAGTGTGACTGAGGAATGTAAAACTGCAGGGGCTGGAGCTGGGGGCTCGTGGTCCTGAAGACTCAGAGCCTTGGGTCCCTGTCACCCCACACCCAGGCTGAGGCAGAAAGTCTTCCAAGCAGCCGCCTGGGGTGGGGGAGTTGACCATAGGGTGGACTTAGTTCATCTAAATGCTGGGGTTCCAGACTGCAGAGATGGCTGCTGATGGACACCCCACCTTCTGCTTGGTCTCCTGTTCTAAACTCTGGTTCCTCACCAGGTTACTTCCTGGTGACCTCATTGTTGGTCACCTACCTCCTCCACTTCCTGCGTCATCTTTAAGTTTGTCTAGATGCGCCAGACTCTGAAGAGCTAGCACACACTCAAACACACATACATACACACACACACACACACGTGAGTTCACATATACACGTGACTTCATACACACACACATATGCACCCACACATGAGCACACAAAGAGACACACATTCAAGTGCACATACACACATGAGCACCACCCATCTGCATCTCCCCAGTGCTGGGGTACAGTCACACACCATCACAGCTGGCTTTTTACAGATGCTCTTGGGAGCACACTTGGGTCTCATGCCTGAGTAGCAAGCACTTCATGAGCTACTGCTCTCAGGGCAGACTTTGTCAGTGACCTAGTGACCTCCAATAAAAGCCTCTGCATTTGGAGTAAAACTTGGATACTGACTTCAGTGTTATATTTAATAGAAGTTAACATTTAAGCTATTTAAAACATTTCCTTGGACTCTTACACAATAATTATTTCCCAGGAGCACCTTGTCTCATGAGCAGAAGTGTTTTCAATTGTGAGTGCCAAGGTTTCAGTGATAACATCTTCATGGAACCGGTGATTTTAACCATTATTCTTTTTTTTTTTTTTTTTAAGACTGGCCCTTTTAAATGGTGTGCTGGTTTTGGAATCTGATCATTTGTTTTTGCTTCATATATTGTTTCAGTAGTAGTGTTGAACCTCGGGCTTCAAGCATGCTAGGCAGGTTCTCCACCACTGAGGAGGCTTTGTATTTTAAAGGAGCTTAGAGTGTGTCTGTGTCTATGTGTGTCTGTGTGTGCCTGTGTGTGTGTGTGTTATGTTTGTGCATTCATGTATGTATGACATGCCTGTGTGGTGTGTACGTTTGTGTTTGTGTGTGTGTGTTCATATGTGTGTGTGTTGTGTATGTGCATGTTTGTGTTGTATATGTGTATGCATGTGTGTATGTGTGAGCATTCATGCATGCATGTGCATGTGTCCTTGCATGCACGCATGTGTGTGTGCGTGTATGTTGTGTGTGTGTTTTGTGTGTTAATAACTTCGTAAGTTTATTTGTACCACATGCGTGCAGGAGCCTGCATAGGACATCAGAACCCTGACCCTGGAGGTATAGATGGTTATGAGCCTCCATGTGAGCGCCGAGAACCTGCATCCTCTGCAAAAAAAAGACAGCATTTTTAACTGCTGAGCCATCCCTCCAGCCCCCACACCCAGCACGCACACATACACACCACACACACCCCAGCCCTTGTGTTTTTAAACTTTGAGATGTTTTTGTGACTAGGGCGTATCATAGTGACACTCACTCTGCCTTTGGTCTGTTTTGTCCTGGTGTATGAAGCACGTCAGTCAGGATCTGGAAGACTCATCGCGCTCTTCAGCACAAGGGAAGTTTAACCGAGAGCAGTTTTACAAATTCATCATCTTCCCTGGGAAGTGGATTAAAGTCTGGTACGACCGACTCACTTTGTTGGCACTGCTGGATCGGTAAGCTGTCCGGCGCGCGGAGGCGTGGCTAGGAGACAAGGGAGGATACCAGTGAGCATGCTCAGATGCTCCTAAAATGCACCTTGCTGCTTGCGAAGGTTCCCTAGGATATTTCCAGCCCATACCCCCACTTTGCTGTGAACCCCACTGACTTAGACCTTGAATTTCACAGTTGCCAGGGGAGGGGATGAAGGAGTACCATGGGCTAGGGTGCAGGTTAGCCTGGGGACAGTCTGCTTTGGTCTGCTCATACCCTGTCCTGTTGGGAGGAATACTTTCAGTTTCATCAGCAAGAGGCCTTCCTCCATCAACTGTGGCCCTGGAAGGGAGGGGAGGTATTGTGGAGTGGTGCTCAGCTGTCCCCTGCCTGGACTCCAGCTCCTCTTCTCCGTCCAGTGTTCACTGATTTGATGCTAACCTCTCGACATTTCCCTCCCTTTTGCCTCCTCTTGTTGCCCCTAAATAAAGCACTTTGTGACTGGAGATACGGAGCCTCGGTTGGCAAGGCAGGGAAGGTTCAAGTTTGCTCTGGTGATGAAGATGGGCTTAGGGTGAAGGTTTCCTGTTTGTGGGCTCCCCTGTCAGAAGGTGCAGGGGAGAATATAAGGATTTTCAGAGAGGCTGTGGGTCTGGTGGAGACTGGTTTTAAAATGGATGGTAGGCTTGCACAGCAAGGTCTGTTCAGAGCTCGGTGCCAGCCAGCCTGTGGAGCAGTGGCAGGGCCACCGAGCTGCCGCCTGCCCCTCAGTGACTACTTGTTACTGTAATGGTACAGACGAGTCTTAAATGGTGTGATCACATTCGGAAAAACGATGGTCTTGCAAAATTACAGCAGTAAATTTCAGGACCCCCCTTCCCTCCCCACCCCTAAGTGAGGGAATGCTGTTGTAACCGCTTTGCTAACAATGCCATGTTACCCTGGGGCATTCGTAGGTGTGGAACGTCGATTCTGGGACTAGCAATGCAAGATAATGCACTCAGCTAGATGAGGCTTTAAAAAAGAGATACTTTTTTTTTTTTTCTGTAACAAGGGATAGGTTGCATTAACCTTGCTTATGAAAAAAACAAATCTCTTTGTAGGTGTGTGTGTATGTGTATGCTCACACAAACACACACACACACACACACACACACACACACCTGCCTGCCACAGCACAGCACAGGAACCCCGCAGGCCTCGTGTCTACCTTCACAGAGTTCATATTCTTTTGGGGACAACAGAAAAACTTGTAAGGAACAAAGCAGTCCTTCCTGTTATAGATACTCCCCCCCATCCCACCTTAATTAATTGGTTGACTCAATTCTTCAGCCCCCTCTTTGGTGATGCTCTAAATATCCCTTTACACTTCCACCCCATCCTAATAAGACCTCACGCCTGGAGGAGTCCCTTCTGCATCTTCCAGCTCATGTGAAGGAACCCAGAACAAAGTCACCCCACCAGACTGTATGGCCGCAGCTCACCCAGCTAGGTTCCCTGTACTGTCTGGGAATCACATCTCTGTCTGAAGCTTCCTGCTCCTGGAACTGGGCATCAAACCCTGACTCCAGAAATGATCAGTCTGGAAATGATTACCCAGGTGTCAGTGCTGACAGGGGGCCTGTGTAGTTCTGAGACATTCCAGGCTTCGGTTGGAAGCACTGGTTGGTAGCGCAAGTGGCCAAGGAAGTCGGTGTGATCGGGTTTCAGTTATTCCAAGAACAAACACCTAGGGTAGCAATAAGGAGTTTGTTTAAACAGCACAAGAATAAACCGACGCCCAGCACGGTACCTGTGCTCAGTGTTGGTGCAGGGTTAGAACAGCTCAGCCCCTGCTCAGTGCAATGCCTGACTGTCAATTAGCAAGGGAAAGCTTGCATTGATATCGACGTGGGCCTGCGGGTCTCACTCCATGCTTCCTTCTATGTCTGCACAGAACTGAAGATGTGAAAGAGAACATGGTGGCGGTTCTGCTCAGCGTTCTGGTTTCCCTCCTGGGCTTTCTGACACTGAATCGTGGCTTCTGCAGAGACTTATGGGTACTGCTTTTCTGCCTGGTCATGGCTAGCTGCCAGTACTCCCTGCTCAAGGCAAGAACCCATCCTCCTGTATGTGTATGTGTGTGTGTGTGTGTGTGTGTGTGTATGTGTGTGTATGTCTATGTGTGTGTATGTGGTGTGTGTATCTCTCTGTATGCGTCTGTGTCTGTGTGTGTGTGCATGTCTCTGTGTGTGTTTCTGTGTATGTCTGTGTGTGTGTCTGTGGTGTGTGTGTCTGTCTGTCTGTGTCTGTGTCTGTGTGTATGAATGTCTGTGTGTGTGTGTGTCTGTGTGTATGTCTGTGTGTGTCTGTGGTGTGTGTGTCTGTCTGTCTGTGTCTGTGTCTGTGTGTATGAATGTCTGTGTGTGTGTGTGTGTGTGTGTCTGTGTGTATGTCTGTGTGTGTCTGTGGTGTGTGTGTGTGTCTGTGTATGAATGTCTTTCTGTGTGTGTGTGTATGTGTGTGTGCACGCGATGTCACTAGCACAGCCTTGAAATCATGAGATAACCCAGGTCCTCTGGTTTGTGTTTTAGAGCGTCCAGCCTGATCCAGCCTCACCCATACACGTAAGTGCCTAAGTATGGGCTAGTATCCTGTCTCACCTGCTTGCATTGAAAATGAGGTGATGCCGACGTCTATCCAAAGGGTCAAATTTGCATCTGTGTCTGTATCTCGAATACAGGAGTAGACGAGGTGGATGGATACCCGAGTGCATGGCGCTAAGCTCTGGCTGGATCTGAGCGCATGGTGCGTTAGCATTGGCAGAGGGGGGCACAGGCATGTGACAGGTCACTTCTGTTCCCTGGGCTCTTAAGAGGAAAGGCACAGCAGTTTGATCAGATGGTCCACAGACTCTGCCATCTGCTGCCTTGCCTTTGTTTCCTATGCACCCAGTTGACTATCCGATGCCGAGCACAGTGGTCCTTTATGTGCCTCAGTTTCCTTATGTGCAAATAGTGGGGATTGGATGTAAATCATTAAATAGCGCATGTAAATTGCTTTGAGCAGTGGCTGGCACCTGGCGATACTCCTCAGGCACTTAGTATGTATCAAGCACTTACTATGTAGTCATAAACTTCATATTTAAAAATCATATATATATATATGTATATGTATATGTATATGTATATGTATATGAATATGTATATGTATATGTATATACATACATAAAATTTGGGGATTTGGGGATAAGTTTTAATTTGGTCATGTATACATAGTGTAACGATGAAGTCAAGTTATTTTTGCGTATCGTATCATATGTCATATACTTTTTTTTTCCTGATGAGGATATTTGTGGTGTGATAAATTTCAGCCATTTTAAAAAACATTCAGTGTCGTGGTTGATGACAGCCACTGTCACTGTGCCGTGTGATAGATCTACTAAGCACACTGATCCCACGTACCTGACTCTGTGCACCCTTGTCCCAACACTTCCTGTCCCCCTCCTCTGCTCCCTAACTCCCACCATTCTGGTCATGTTGTCTGTGGGTCAAACTTTGCTCTATTCCATAAAAAGTGAGGCTTTGCAGTACTTTTCCTGATGAGGGCACTGGATAGTCAACTCAGGTCCTCTGACAGAGCAGCAGATGTTCGTTCTTAACTGCTGAACGTTCTTTCTAGCTTCTACTCTGTGTGTGTGCATGTGTGTGCATGTGTGTGCACCCCCCCCACACATGATTGTCCATGCCCTCATACATACATACGCTTGCACAGGTGCATATGTCACACCATGTATGTAGAGGTTAGTCCTCATCTGCTTTACCTGAAGCAGGATCTCTCTATAGTGTTTCCTTTGCTGTATATGCCAGGGTAGCTGACCCGTGAACTTCTGCAGGTTCTCCTATCTGCTGCTTATCTCCCTGAAAGGGCATTTGGCTTACCCCTGCTACATATCCACCTTTTGTGTAGGTTCTGGTGATTCAGACTCAGGTCCTCCACTTGCAAGGCAAGTGCTTTCTGCTGCTTGGGACTTTTTTGAGAATGTCCCACCATCCTTAATGTCAGTACCACCTATCGTCCACAAGGGGGCGTTCTCTCCATGTCCTCACCAAGACTTATTGGCCCTTTTTGCTGTAAATGCTATGCTGACAGGTGTGAGTTCATTTCCCACCGTGGTTGTCTTTTTCGTGACCCTGCGTGGAAAGTCTGTGTATGAAGTTCTTCTGCTATTGCTCCTTGGGTTCAGGTGCCCTGTTACCCTTTATCCTGGTAACCTGGATTCTAATTTATATGAAGTCTGGGCTCACCCAGACCAACCCCTATTTACACACACTCTCCTGGCCCTGGTGCCCCAGTGGCCTTGGGTGCTGTGGGTCAGGGTCCACTGTGCAGGTTCCAGCCTTAGCCATGTGCTTTGTTGCTTCTGCACTGGTCATCCTTCCTGCCTCTGTCACAGGAAGCCCCTCTGCCACCCCGGCTGTGGACTCTGAAGAAGCTCTCCAATGAGAGAAAACTGTCTTCCCTGCGTTATGCATCAAAATAATTGTATTCAGGGATTAGGACTATTTTTTAATCTATACCAGCTCATCATGATTAGGAAAATGTTCTAATTGGTGGCCTTGTGCTGGCAGATGCTGTCCTGTTAAGTCCCTCTGTTCTCTGTAACAGTTTGCATATGAGACATTTTTTATCCTAGCATCAAGCAGTGTTGTGACTACGGCATTAAGATGTAGTATTGGGATTCCCCTTAGAAACCAGGGTAGCTGTGTGCTCTGAGGTTTGCTGCAGCCCATCCCAGGTGCACCAGTATCTTCTCCCCGATACCTCTTCCCTCACTGTGGCTGGCTGGCTGCTGTCATTTGGCAACCAAAGATTCCTCACCTTGGGGCTGTGAAGACAGCTCAGTCAGTAAAGTGACTACCACCCAAACATGAAGACTAGAGTTGGATCCCCAGAATCCCTGCAAAAGCCATGCAGAGCCACACAAACATTCAATCCAAGTACTGTGGGTACAAGGACAGGAAGACCCTGCAGCTGACTGGCCGGCCAGTATGGGCAGCAGGCCGAAGAACTCCAGGTTCGCTGAGAGGCCCTTTATCAGATAAAATAGTGGAGGCAAGATTGAGGAAGACACACAGAGTTTGGCTTCTACACACATGCACACGCCCAGACAAACTTGTAAGCACACACAGGTGCACATACACACAGGGATGAGTGCACATACGTGTACACACAGGCATGCATGCATACATGCACATACACACTCTCACACATAAAAAATTCCTTCCCAGCATGTACTTTAGGATGTGATACAAAGCATGCTAAGACAATGGGGAGGGAAGGGTGATGGGCAAGCCTCATACTTCAGGTAGATCTGAGGTGTCACTACTGGGACCTCTCATACTGCTGTGCTGAACTGGAGTCATTCTGTCTGGTTCTCATCTGGAGTCATTCTGTCTGGTTCTTATAAGAATGGACCAAGCTACCATGCCAGGATCCAAACAGGCATGTCACAGGGAGCAGGGAACAGAGGCTTCTCTTACTGTTATGGTGAACTATAGTCAGATACCTACCCCTTGTCCGTTTCAGTCACCAATTTCCTTACCAAGATTTCCAAGTCTATTCAGCTCTGGTTTGATAAGGAAGAGAAGGAGGAGGGCTGGGGCATTTTCCCACTCGATGCAATTTTCCAGAACAAGGGCCAGACAAGAATCCTCCTCTTGTTAATCAATGCGCGATTCATTGGGTTCAAAAAAAAACCAACAAAAATGAATCAGGAAAGGAGTCTGCTTTGCAATTCATGGTTTACCTTGCGTGTAAAATGTGTGCAGGTGGCTGGTCACTCAGCCCCCCCCCACTCCTACCCCGCCCCCAGAGGCAGGCTTCCCTGTGGGCTTCTCATTGCTTTCCGGATCTTCCAAACTGCTTTGTGAACAGTCCACTGCAGTGTTGATGGGCAGGGATGATGGGAAACCCACGTGCACCAAGGTCAGCATTCAGACAGTAGCCTGGAGGATGCTCCCGGCCATGTGACACACTGTGGAAGCCTCGCTTATAAACCGCACTGGGGAAGTCGAACAGATTGCCAGAGACCGTGATTAGGCTTCACCTGGTGGAGCAGGCAGGAAAAAAAAATCACATTTGTCGAAAAGTTTAAAAATCAACCCTTGTAGAGGAGGGGTGCCTGCTGATGCAGGTGAACACTCAGCCGTGGGGGAGCACAGAATTTCATCAGTGAGCATTCTGGGGATTCGGGAAGATAGAGTGGTTTCCATACTGGGAATGAGCAGCATCCTCAGTATGGCCCTGGGACCCCAAACACAGGAGGCATAGCCATGGGACCCCGGGGCTAGCCCACTGTAGGACCCCGGGTTTGGTTTCATAAATTAGCAACATGGAGGACATGTTTGTATCCCTGATAAAGCTTCCGAAAGATGGCTGAGGGCTTTTCATATTGGTCGAGGCCAGAGATGGCCTGTTGCTATGGATTTAAATGCATGTATCTGCATATGTGTGTATGCACACGCATGCATATAGGCCTGAGGACCGGACCACTTTGGTTATAGGAGGTGGGTGAGTTGAATGAAGTACAGTTTCTCACTCACCTGGAGCTTGCCAGCAAGCCCCAGGGACCTGCCTGTCTCCACCTTCCCAACGCTAGGAATGTAGGCACGTCCCAACATTGGTTCCGGGACTTGCACTGACTTATGTTCGAAAGACAAACATTTTACTCTCTGAGCCGACCCTCCAGCCCACTAAGCTTTTGATAAGAGAAAGAGCCAGAATAAGTGGTAGCTTCTTAATTACGTTCTGTAAACCTTGTCAGTTTGAGAAAATATCTCCCCTGTATCGTGTATTGATACACCACACAGTTATTTATACTGGCTAATTTATTTTGCTGTATACTTAGTAAGGATGTTTAGACTTCATTCTGGCTTCAGTCTTATTATTTTTTAATGCAAAGAAAGTATTCTCATGTGATTATTAATCCATGACCTACTTGGATGCTGAAGAAAATTCCCTGCTAGTTTTTTTCAAGACCGAGCCTGGCCCCAGGACCATAGGCTGCCAGTCTCTGTGACAGACGCTGGTATTGTCCTGTTGAAAGATGGTCTCAGAACAGGACTGTTTCTATTTTGGAAGCAGTGGCAATTTAAACTCAATTTCTAAATATAGCGCATTCAAGGCAGTGACTGAGAACACCTGTCTGCGACCGTGCCGCTCTGCCTCTGCTTGGTGGACACAAGGTGACTCATGGATTGCAAAGCATACCCACCTGGTCCATTGTTCTTGGCCTCTCAAATCTTATGAGCTGTGCTTTGATTTCAAATTTGATGTTGTAGTTTTGCTGACTTTTGCTCTGGAAAGCCTATGACACAATACCCCGCCTCCTCATTTTAAAAGAATTTTAAGTTTTATTGTCATTGTACAGATGTGTATCATGTGTTCTCGTGTGTGTGTGTATGTGTGCTGTGTGTGCATTTGCTCACATCATGGTACATGTATGGAGGTCAGAGGATAGCTTCCTGGTATCAGGTCTCTCCTTCTGCCTTAAAGTGTAGGACAAGGCCTGCACCGGCTGGCTTCGGTTCCCCTCAGATGAAAGGTTCTGCCCATGATTAGTCAAAATGGCTCACTGTTTTATCCAGCTGTTCTCGCTGCCATGTTAAGACCTGCACCCGGAGGACTGGCAGCTCTCTCCTCCGTCCCTTGCTTCCTGCAACGAGGGAATTGAAACCCCATTCATAATGCTATTTCCTGTTGATGGGGAACCCAAGTTAGATTCACATAACAAACCAATGTTTCAAGGAGTCTGGCACCTGAAAGGAGCTAGGGGAACGGAAGCCTGCCCCTCCTCCCCTCCCAGGAAAGCATTGAATTAGACATATTTTCTCTGGGGTGGGGATCAAATTTTTAGGTAAATTTTGTTGGACTTGAAGTATAACATTCTCTTTGATATTCTTATCCTGGCTTGGTAATATAAACACCAAGCATTGTTTATGCATCTGCGTGGGGATGGGTGTTGGGTTGGGGATGGGTGTCGGAGCATCAGTTTTATCATGTGCTGTAAGTTCTTGGATGTCACGGAGTCAAAGCCAAAGGTACAACTTGGAAATCGCGTCTGTTTTCTAGGGTCACAACCAAATCATCGCCTATAGCAGACCCATCTATTTCTGTGTGCTGTGCGGCCTTATTTTGCTTCTTGACGCAGGGGCCAAAGCCAGACACCCTCCCAGCTATGTCGTGTATGGCCTGAAGTTCTTTACACCAGAGACCCTGCAATCAGTCAGGGACCACTTAATAGGTGAGTGAGTTTGGGGGTTATGGGAAGGAGTCTTGGGAAGGGAAGATATGTCTCCCCTTTATCTTTTATCTGGAAAAGCCAGCACGTGATTACTACTGTGAAGGGCTAAGTATTTTCTTGGCTTGTGTCTGTAGAAGACTCTGAGCCCAATATAACAGATGCAGTGGTGGGGATGAGGGTGGGGATGGGGAGGGAGAGAAGGAAGGAGGGAAGGGGGATGGAGGGAAAGAGCGTAGGCTCACAACTGAGCTGTCATTCTTAGGTGCTGTCCACCTTGGTGTTTTGAGGCAGAGTCTCTCATTGACATAGAGCCACGTCCACCTCCACCTCCAGAATCCTAGAATCACAAGCACTTACTGCCATGTCTTCTTGGCTTTTATGTCCTTGTGGGGTTTGAACTTGCATCCTCATGGTTTCAAGGCTAGCACCTCACCTACCAAGCTGTCTCTCTCCAGCCTCTAACAATAGGGTTCTGTGAAAGGACTCTGATATTTATAACCAGGAAGTTGTACTCTGAAGCACCTAAAGCTGGTATCGATACCCATCAAGGTGAGCTGGCCATAGGGCGACAGCCTCAGGTCTCTCCATGTTGCCAGACATTATGAGCATGCATGAATGGGCACCAGTCTCGACTCTGGTCATTCCCAGTTTGTGCTTGGCTTAAAACCAGAGCAGCACCTGCTATTCTGTGTTCCATTCAGGTGAGCCTTGTGCTAATTGCATAGATAAGGTCTTCAACCCTAGAGCCAGCCTTCTCTCTCTCTCTCTCCTCTCTCTCTCTCTCTCTCTCTCTCTCTCTCTCTCTCTCTCTCTCACACACACACACACACACACACACACACACACACATTCTGTTTCTGTCTCTCTGTCTCTGTTGTTATTGTGATAAAGTACCTTGACAGAGCAATTTAAGGGAGAAAGGATTGATGGTTTGCTTGCATCCAAAGAGACAATGCATCAAGGTGAGAGGTCACAGGTCACAGTGAGAGGTCACAGTGAGAGGTCAAGGCATGGAGCAGTTGTCCACAATAGAGCTCACATCACCCCCCTCCTTTTACACAGTCTGGGACCCCACCCCATGGAATAGGTCTTTCCACCCTCATTCCCCTAATCAACATAGCCCCTCACAGACATGCCCAGAAGCTGAATAACTCCCTCAGCCGTACTTGGAGGCTTCTCCAGGTGAGTCCAGAGCCTGCCAAGGTGACCACAATAACCATCACACCTTACTAAGTGAGCAAGATCATGCTGGAAGTGGAGGGGACAAAAAGTGGCCCACCTTATAACTCAGTAGTTTGTGAGTCAATATGTGATCATAGAAAACGGTCCGGAACAAACAGGACTTAGTGCTGACACTTGCTAAAATGTCCATGATCCATAGCTCCAAGGACTCGTTGGCTCATGCTCTGGGGATTTTTGTGATGACATCCAGAGGTGAGCCAGCTTTGAACTTGTGAAGACTGTGGCAAAGTCACTACTGCCCTGAGACTCACATTGCCGTCAAGATGTCCACTTCCTGATGAGCACCCCTAGTCTTTAGACAGTGTCACCCTTCCCCTGGCCTCCCTGACAGGTCCCTGAGTCTCTGCAGTGGTCCTGGGCAGGTACCCAGATGTCTGAGGAACTTTCTCTGTGTCCCGTGCAGGTGAAACCTGGGTAGGGATGAGACTCTGATCTCCTTCCTCACGGCCCCTCCCTTTCTCTTCCTGCTCTATCTGTAGCAGACTTTACTTACACAGATACACACTACACATATACACATAGTTACACACATACATAGACTCCAGATATACACACATACATATATAGATACCTATATGTAGATATACCACATAATACTTACATATACACTACACATGTGCACATAGTCACACACATAGACTCCCAGATATACACACACATATACATACATACTTACATACACACTACATATATATACATAGTTACACACATACATAGACTCCAGATATACACACATACATACACAGAGACATATATGTAAATATACCACATAATACTTACATATACACTACACATGTGCACATAGTCATACACATATGTAGACTCCCAGATACACACACATACATATACAGATACCTATATGTAGATATACCACATAAAACTTCACACTTAGATTTATATACCTATACATAAATATAAACATATTATGCACACACACACTCACAATACATACATGTATACACCAGATGCACACATACATACACTTCTTCTTGCAAGCTCACCTGGTATGCAAACCTGCAATTCCATTTCTATTACATCCATGAAAGAACTAAGCAGTTTAAAGCCAAAGGCCTGAAGAACATGTATTGGAAAACCTTCAAGTTCAAGTAAGAAACAGAAGCATGGAATCGTAACAGGAAAAGGCTCCAATTAGAGATTGGTCAGCACCCTCCTGAGAATAGGCGGCCACTCCTGCTGATGCGTGTCTCTTCACCACTGTATGAATGAAGTCCATCGCATGACCCAAGAAAGGCATTAGGCCTTTCTCCTCAGTTTACATCTCCCACCCAAGATCTTGCCAGCTGCCCCGGGGAAGCAGTCAGGACCAGACACATAAACACATCTCAGAATTCTCCCTAGGATCTTTTCAATTTAATAGATTCATTGGTTTCCTTTTTAAAGTAGTAGGTTGGAGGCTATAGCTCAAGGTCACACAAGGAGCTGGTTATCAGAGGTAGCTCATCTAACAGGATGTGAGGCGATGTCTCTGCCCAAAATGGCCGCCTTTCCCTTGCTGAACCTCCATATTCCCCAAGTGTGCCTCTTGGTTACGTTTCCCCCCAGATCTCCATGTGGACCGGTGACTTTAGTTCCATCTCTTAAAGGGACAAGGATGTGTTGTGTTGTCTAACTAGAATTCCTATTATCTTGACTTCTGTTCCTCTCTTCCTTGTGAGCTCTGTGCCTCGACCACATTCTTCTCGGTGGCTCAGTTCCCTAGGTCTCATCTTCTGTCATCTGGCCACTCTTACCTCACAGCACCTGACCCATGTGACAATAATGTACCTCCGTTGTCATGTTTGATTCAAGTCTCCTTGGACAGCTTGTCTCCTCACTGCAGATAAAGCAGACCTCTCACCACTCTGCTCTGCTCGTGCCTGGAGACCACAGGCACCAGATAAGCCTTGGCAGGGCAGAGTGACTGAGGAGCATGCAGGCGGTCAGGAAGCAACCAGAAGAAGCTAGTGAGTGAGTCAGTTTTTGGAGTGCTTTCCACTCATAAATCAGAGACAGCTCCCTTGACCCTCAGAGCTGGCTTCATTTAGAAGAAAATTTTACAGAAAACCGTAGAATGGAGACTTGCAGGTGCTTGGTGCGATGCCACAGACCTGTGGTCCCAACACTTGGCAGGTAGATGCAGGAGGATCAGGAGTTCAAAGTTGCCGTTGGTGAAATAGAAAGTTAGAGGTCGGTCTGAGTTACTTGAGATCCTATCTTTAAAAGACAACAAAACAAATCCCCCCCCCAAAAAAAAAAACAGAATAAAAGAGAGACAGAGGAGGAAGGAAAGGGAAGCAGGGAGGGGCTGGGTAAGGAAGAAAGACTTGAGAGAGGCAAAGGCTGACACATTCCATTTACAAATTGATTTTATGTGTGGGTTCTGCACACCCTCGCTTCCTACTTTGCTACTATGAGAAAGCCAGCGCCCCGAGTTCCTGGTGTACCTCACTCTCCACGGCAGGAAAACCAGAGACTTTATTAGGGCTCGAAAGGGAAGAGGGCTGTGCTTGCCTGAAGCCTGAGGTATTTGTTTAGCAGTGACCCGTGCCTCCAAATGCACCACTGGACTTCGTCCTTTTGGTTCTTTTCAAGTCAATTCCTCCATGGTGTGGGAGAGACAGGGAGTGGGGCTTTCTTAACTCCCTCCTGAAATACATTTCTTCACCTAGAACTTCCCAATACCTATTGTCTTCTCATCAACAGTGACAAGTAAAAATGGTGTCAAATAGCCCAGCGAGCTGACCAGATGATATCTGTGGCTCAGATAAAAGAAAAAACAGAAGCATAGTGATCTGAGAGTAAGGAGGGGAGGGGGTTAAACACGCTGATCTGCCCAGAGCATGAAAGACTGAAACTAACAATAAACCTTAGAATGAGAAAGTGTGTAGCGAGTTTTCTGACTTTGTAGGAGAGACAGGGTTGATTCAAGGTCATTGCCTTGTGGAGCCTCTTCACCAGGGATTTAGAGACATCATTGTTGTCTCTGTCATGTCCAGGGATCTAGTATCCATTCTCAGAAGAGGCAGGGCACACCTTTGGTGGGACCTGCAGCATGAGGACTCCAGAGTACAGCTGGCTTGAACCTCACCAGTAAGGCTGATCCTGGATTAATGAGAGACCCAGTGTCAACAAACAAGGCAAGGATTATCCCTAAGAGCAGCCTCTGGCTTCTACATGCATACATATGTACCTTACATACACATGCACACTCCATCCCTGTAACTGCCCGTTCTGCCTCACGTTTGGGGACCACTTTGTAACGGCCCGAGCTGCTGCTCCAATCTGTGGGTCAGGGTCTAGCAAGAGAGAGTGGGGATGGAGGGGCGAGAGACACAAAAGATGGATACAAGACAGAGTCTGGTCTAGTCTCCTCCTTTATTGAAAGGAAATCATGGGTATATATAAGCAAAAGCAGGGGAATGCAGCTGAAGACACTTTACCACATGCACCTTGCAGCTGGGGGCATTAAACTACAAAACAAGATATGTAAAAAAAAAGCAAGATATTTATCAGAGTGTGCTCAGCTGTTGTGGGCTGTTGAAAACAAGTCTCTTGTCAGGATATATGGCTGGAGATGGCTGCAAAGATGATAGCCGCTTTCTGCTCGGAGTTGGCTCCCAACACATCCCCACACAGACACACAGACACACACACTTGTACACACATAGTGTGGTCAGCCTGTGTATGTTCTATAACTAATCTCATGAAACCGCTTTCTTAACAAAGCCTCTGGGACAGCCTACATATCTGTGTTCATGGGCCAGAGTGACTCCTATCCTGGTCATTTCTTCTGAGGAAAGTTGTGGTTTAAGTCAACAGCTGTGTGAGTTCCCTTTCTCCAGCAAAAGATGGAACAAGAAACACGGTCCTCAGGAGCTACCTGCACTGTTTTTTTGGTTTTGTTTTGTTTTGTTTTAGCCATATATATTGATGGAGACCCTGGGCAAACAAATTGCAGCAAAGTGGGACAAACTGTTACAGATGTTACTGATGGCATTTGTAGTGTTGAGGTTGGTGGAAGTTAGGGATCTGCTAAGAATGTATTTTAAAGGTTTAATTTGATTAAAAAAAAAGATTAGAAAAATAAAGAGATGTGCACAATGAATCAGTATTGGTGGAGGCTTACAACTAGACCAGGGCAGTGTGGTCCTGGCTCTGAAACATCCCATGTCTCCATGATCAGAAAGCCCTAGTTTTGGTTTTTGTAGATCTTTAACACAAGTGTGACTTTCCTTTTTACCTTTTCACACTTCAGTTTACACTCTTGTTTGCACACCTTTCTGGAACTTTCCCTGTCTTCTAATTCCTCTCCTCATCTCCTCAGGTCTGACTCTGTCCTGAACTGCAGGCTGTGTCCCTCCCTCCCTCCCTCCCTTCCTCAATCCCTCACCACTCGTCAGCTCTTCTTTAGGTCCTGAGCCTTCTGTTCATCCATCCCTGAATAATGCACTTTTTTTCTCAGCTGGGGTAGTGGAACCCCTGTTGACTCAGTTTCCCTGGATGGGATAGAGGATCTGAAAGAGGAGAAGGCAGTGTTGTAGCCACAATTCGGCCATGATTGCCCCACCCACAATTCCAGCCATGATTGCCCCGCCTACAATTCGGCCATGATTGCCCCGCCCACAATTCCAGCCATGATTGCCCCGCCTACAATGCAGCCATGACTGCCCCGCCCTTAGCTCATTGCTGCTTTCCTCTGTTCATTTCCAGTATTTCTGTGTTGCTTCCCTGCCATCTCTCTCCTCGGGCTCTTCCCACAGATCAACACCTTCTGTACGTACCTCCTGGAGCAAATCGACATGTTGCTCTTCGGGGGTTCTGGTGAGTCTTGGCACCTGCTCCTCCTGGGAAGGGTTTCAAGTTTGGACAAAGTATGGCGGTCTTAAGAACAAAGGATAGGGTCCCACTGGAAGGTTTGCTTTGTCTTGAGGTCCAAACCCGATTTAGCTTGGATCTCCTGTGGAGTCTGTTTTCTAGAGTCAGAAGTGGCCCACTAAGTAAAGGAATAAGGAAAGATACAAGAAAGGAGATGGTTTCCCTTGATTGGGAGTGAGCGAGTGAGGCTCTTCAAACGGCTCTTTAGAAGTGTGTGTGTGTGTGTGTGTGTGTGTGTGTGCATATATCATTGTGGGGATAGGTCAGTATGCACCTGTGCCTGTAGTATTGTGGATGTGTGTTGTAGAAGCACCTATAATCCTTGAAAATCTTTCCCCCAAAACACACAAGACCCCAGCGTTGTTCCCTGGGTGTGGCGCACAGGTCTGATCCTTGATGCTATTATTCCATGGATAGTCAGTTATAAAATCTTTCCTACACTAGCAGTGGCCTGTGTCTTTGAATGGATCCCATAGATAGGCAATGTATACTGAAAGCCATGGCCCTCTCCCCACTTCCACCTCTGCTGGTTTTGAGAAGGGCTCACCCAGTAAGCAGTGATGGTGTTTGTGTTCCAGCTGTCTCTGGGATCACTTCGGCTGTGTACAGCGTGGGCCGGAGTGTCCTGGCAACAGCGCTACTCTACGTCTTCTGCTTCAGTGCCGTGAAGGTAAGTGTGCAGACGCACTGTGGAGGGGACTGTGGCTTGTGCCAATCGGCATGTTGTTTTAATCAGTTCTGTATCAACTGTAAACGGAGTGGGATGTTAGCGGCTTGGATGGAGTGACAGGGCCTAGCTGAGTTTGGAGATTCGTCCTTGAAGTCAATACCTGGCTTGTCCTGTGGTGTAAGCCTCACCTGCCTCGTCCTCTGTGATATCCCTGAAATGTCCAGGGATACCAGAAGGACTTCTGGTGGCCATGAGGATTGATGCAACTCACGTGTTCATCTTCTGTCTTAAGTAGCACCCCCAAATAGGGTGGGGATACACCTGTATGAAGCTGTGTGGGCCAGGGAATGGAATGGGGTGGGTCAGCCACACCGGTCCAGAATCTAGGCCATACGTGAACCTCAGAGTTTTTCAGGCCAAAAAGAGCAAAGCCTGGGGTATGGCCAAGGAACCAAAGAAGACGAGGAGATTAGTTCAGATGCCAGAAGCCCAGAAAGCTCTGTCAGAAGTGTAATGGTTGCACATATATGGCCCAGTTGTGCATGTGCACACACAATATGGCTTTAAAACTACAGCACACTTATGCCCTCATCCTGCATGCACACACACACATATATCCTAATCCTTCATGTGCACACAGTATGGCTGTGTAACTGTTGCACACATAATGACCCAGTCATGCATGCATACACAGTATGGCTGTGTAACTGTTGCACACACATGGCCCAGTCATGCATGCACACACAGTGTGACTATGTAAGTGTTGCACACTTATGTCCTAATCATCCATGTGCACACAGTGTGGCTGTGTAACTGTTGCACACACATGGCCCAGTCGTGCATGTGCACACAGTGTGGCTGTAGGTCAGTTGGTGTATTTATAAGGCTCTAAGTAATTTTGTATCTCTGGTGGAAGAACTGGGCACAGGAGGAGGCAGTCTAGATCCTTCTCAACGAGAGGGAGTCAGTAAACATTGTCCAAATGGAACAAAGTCAAGAATAGAAACACTGGCTTGTTTGGGAATAGGAGGAAATGGGAGAAGGAGAAACAGCCTTAAGCTGCTGCCCACAGGGGCAGAAACAGGAGCCAGGAACCCTGTAGAAAGTCCTGCAAGCTCACTGCCTTCTCTGAGTTGGGGTCAAACGCTTCCCAGCTCTGAGGTTTCCAGTGTTGAGGCAGGCTTCTGACAGAGGGACAGAGGTACTCAGGGAGGTCTGTTTCATCTGAGGAAGAACTCACTCCTGTTGCATAATACAGAATGAGTGACAAATGGTAACAGAATATTAATGGCCCTGGTTGGCGTTTTAAGTACCTTTTGGTTAAAAAAAAAAAAAAACCCAACCCATACAGCAATTTGCATTTCTCTCTTCTCATCTGTGAGTGCTGACTTCAAATGGTCCCATGTCGACTCTCTGCTTTAAGATGTGGCGCCTATTAAATGCTGTGAACTGACTGAATGTGGTTAGTGAATTCACAGGGGGGTCCGGGGAGGAGAGGAAAATATGCCCAACTTCCACAAACACTGACTGTATTGATCAGGGTTTTCTAGAGAAACAGACGGATAGGATGGAGCTCACTCTCTCTGTCTTATTCACACGTGCATGCACACACACACAAATACATACATATATATATATATATATATACACACACACATGCACACACATATACATATATACATATACACATATACATATATACATACACACATGCACACACATATACATACACACACACACACACACAGGATTTACTGGAATGGCTTACAGGCTGAGGCTGTGATCCAGCTAGTCCAACAATGGCTTTCTACTCACGGAAGATCCAAAAATCCTGTTGTTCTTCAGTCCACGAGACTGATGTGTCATCTAGTCTTCAGTATACTCTGGAATCCTAGAAAAGGAGGCTTTCATGACAGTAAAGAAATGGACTCACCATTGAGAGCAAGAGCCAGCAGGAAGAGAGCACGCTTCCTCCTCTGTGTCCTTTATATAGGCTGCCCGCAGAAGGTGCGGCCCAGATTAAAGGTGGATCTCACCATCTCAAAAGATCCAGGTTAAAAGTTGCTCTTCCCACTTCAAACGATTTAATTAAGAAAAAAAAAAAATCCCTCATGTGTACCCAGCCACTTGGGTTTTAGTTCATCCCAGCTGTAGTCAAGTTGATAACCAAGAATAGGCTTCACACTTCCCACACCAGAGCTGGGTCTGTGTGGTTTCCTTCTGGTGCTTTCTCTACACCACGGTTGCTGCTCTGTGATGCTGACACAGAGAGTTCTCCTTCCTTCCTCAGAGTGATGGATGAATGGATTCTCACAAGCCATATTTGCCTGTGAGCTGCCTGGCTGGGGCCATGTCTCTCTCTACATAGGTCTCACTATGAGGTTTATCACCTTGATTTATTATTGTTGCTGTTGCCTATGGAGACCAAGAGACGCAACCCAGCAGAGCTGCAAGAAGCCTGGGAAATTCACACCTTACAGCTGACACCTGGTCCACGACAATGAGAAAGAATTTCAGGGCATGTCAGAGTGAGGTGAAGTTACCCAGTTTATTAAGCAGACAGACGAGACAGTATGCACAGGGGGACATTTAAAAGGAGAATGACATAGGAAAACTGTAGTGTACTCCTAAGACATAACTGCCGGCTTCTTGAGAGAGAGAGATACCCCAGGGGCTTCAGCCAAGGCTAATGTGATTGGAGTCTTGAAGTTACCTCACCCAAAGGACTTAATTTATCACCACGTGCAAAGATAAGCACAATCTACTAAGAAAATGAAGTTTCAATGCGTCTTTTGATGTACGAGCTGGTTTCTTTATTTCTCAAAGATCTTCCTTTCGTGAATGGTATGAAGGGCCTTATTTGAGATTATGGATGAGAGGGGGAAGCTGATGAGGTTAAAGTCAGACTCTTGAATGCTCTGGGCCTGGGTCAGCTTGGCTCATGTGACATTTTTAACCTCCGAGTATTAGATGTCTTTTGTAAGAAGAGCGTTGTCTCTGTGGGCAATGCCCGTTTTACCAGTTGCGTGAAGGTTTTTGACTCTTGGCCAGCAGGAACCACAAAGCAGATCCAAAGGTGGGGTGCCTCTCCCTTAGATGTCCCCTCTGTTTCCTTGTCCTTATACCGGGCCTCCTTATCACTCAGGAGATATAGACAGGGGGGACCATGAGTTTATTTTGCCCTCTGGAATATTAATTAGGGAAAGGAAATCTGATTCCTCTTGTAATCTCGTATTCTCTTTGGCTCTTCCGAGATGTTTGCAAATCATGTAAAACAGACACCCCCCCCCAACCCATGACTTATGTATTTGACAGTGACACACGGAAGCCACCGGAATATTTGCTCCCCGGAGAAACGGCTCAGCAGTTAATTAGCCAGGATTTCTATTTGTCTAGGTAAACCTAGACGGCTGGTTTTTTTGTTTTTTTTTTTTAAAATCCGTTACAAAGAAATTCTGCTTTATTGCTGGTGAGAGGACCCAGAGGCTGAAACACATTTTTATAATTTAATGCTTCCCAAGCGTCATTAACAATGGCTTGCAGGAGGGTTTCTCTCCCTCCCACTCCCTAGCACTCCCCAGCTGTAGCCCGCACTTCAGCACTTCCCATATTCAGGATTTAAACTCTAATTGTAGATCTATAATAAACCCATAGTTCTAGAATATGATTTGGCAGGGGAGGGAGGATACTGATGGACCTTACCTGTTCTCCTGGCAACCCCTCAGTAGACTCCAGGGTCTCTGCTGACTTCAGCTCTCCCCCATATCCCTGCGAAGTGAAAATCATTTTGCTCATCGGAAGGACAATTCACAGTCAGATAAGACACCTGCTCGTCCATGGAACTTCTGTTTCCCTAGTGTCTGCTCGTTGTCTTTCGTTCCATTCTCTAGTAGGCAGGGATGAGTCTAGTAGCATCGCTCTACTCCAAAGGTGAAGCCAAAGCCCGAGATGGTGTGGTGAGTCGCCCAGGGATTCATACCTAATTCACAGGTTTTTTTTCTCCCACTTAGAATGAATTAGTGAAACCCACCTCATGAGGATATTGGTGCTATTGGACTTAGGAACTCACAGCCTGAGCCTGAACAATCCAGGGTCAGCTACCAATCCTCAATAATCCAATTAAATGAGCCAAATCATCAATGTGAGTGTGTTAAAAGAGGAACAAAGGAACCCAGTGATCCCCAAGTCCGTCTTTGGGGGGATGTCCCGGCATGAGTTATGCATAACTAAGAAATACAGCCAGAGTGTGGTCCTGCCCACCCTTGTCTCAGCTCCAAGCCTCTCCGGTAAGGCTGTCTGACACATTATAAATTGTTTTCAGGAGGCAAGTTTTTCCTCTGAGCATTGAGCCTCCTTCTCCAAGCAGGAGATTCCTGGGTAAATTCTAATTTCTTGTAGTCCACCCTTCCAATAGCCTGACAGCCGAAGAGGGAGCACGGGTGTTTCTTTAGGTCACATTCACTGTTTCCAGACTGGCATTACTGGGCTTGGCGCTTTCTGATTGGCTAGGCTGGCCAGCCAGTAGGCTCCAGGGATCTGCCTGCCTCTGCCTCCAAAGTGCTGGGATTATAGGCATTCAAGAAAACACTTGGCTTTTATACATGCTCTAGCGGATCAAACTCAGACAACTGCTTACTGACAGAGATACCTTCCCAGCGTATTTTCTAATGCGGGCTGGTCGTATTTACCCTACTCTCTTTGACGTCGTCACCACAACCACCAACTACGCATGCTCACATCAACTGCGCATGCTCACATCGGCTACGGATGCTCAGCAACAGTTGCCCGTGTTCGTTTGCCATTGCTGAGTAACAAGCTGCCCCAGAATCAGTGCACATGTGCACTGCGCCATAGTTTCACAGTGTGGGTTCTCTCCTTGACACCTCAGCAGGCTGAAATCATCGTTGCTAAACCTTTGATCTCAGCAGAGGCATGAGGTCCTCCCTGTATGCCAGTAGAATTCAGTTTATTGTTGCTGTAGGATGACAATCCCTCTTTTT